TACGTTTCACGGGGGGGTTTTTAACCTCAGCCTCGCTAAAAATTAAATATTCACGTTGCGGGAGGGTGGCGCAAGATGCCATAAAGGGTAGTTCACCGTAGCGGGGTGACGGGAGAATTCATTATCGGGCGATTTCGTCGGGCCTTTAAAGTCTTAATATCCATTAATCTCAGGAGCTCCTTGGGGTTATTGTTTGAAAAAGAAAAAAAAAAAAATTTTTTTTAAAGTTAAAAAATATTTTTTAAATTCATCCAGAGAGTAAACCCGAAATTTTACACGATATTTACGAAATTACCAGAGTACCTAAAAATTTGAAAATTCATGCCTGACAAATAATTTGAAAAGGAAAGGTATTAGTATTCGGGAGGGTAAATGTCCAAGTATTACAAAAAGTACAGGGCGAAAGAGCCTAGGGTAGCAAAGTAACTACGTAGAATCAAAGAATAAAACGATAAGGGAAGCTCGAGTATAAGAATACAAAAAAAGACTCATAAGGGAGTAACGGAGAGAAGAGAAGCGACTAGGAAAAGTTTCGAGCTACATAAACAAACCAATTAGCCGGTTAAGCGGGCAAACCCCCATGAAATTCAATTGTCTTCGCCCCATGCATCTCGGGGCTAACCACCCTTATATTTTCATCCCCCTAGTGCGCGCGAAGACCATGCCGAGAACTCTAACGGCCTTGCAGGCCTGCTATTAGGGTGTCAATTAAATTAGATCAGCGTGCTGAGGTGGACTTTTATTTTTTACCCTTCTTTCTTCTATGACGCTAAACGGATCATCCCCATACGGTCCATTTACGTTGAGATAAATACAAAAATTATTAGACGAAAATCAAAAGGTCGTTTATCAATAAACAGCATACCAACAGTTTCTACGATTAAAGTACATTTTTTTGACTTTCCCTATCTTGTCTCTGTATAATCATTTTACCAGCATCCTCAGGATTATATATTTACAACTCAAAGATAACTTTATCCATAGTACCAGAAATCCATTACCAAGGATACGAAAAGCGGGTAAACTTTTCGGTCGCTTTTGGGTCAGCGGAAATCTTTGAAAAGTTTTTCCTAGCTTTCCTGCCGGAAGATAAAGCATCCAATCCGCGACCGGAAGTGAATTAAATCGACGTCCTGCTGACGTGAATTTTCTTTTGAATTTTTCCAATTCTTCAAAAATTTCTTTATTTTTACACCCAAACATATTTTTCCGTCCCATCTATTGTACACGGCAAATAATTCTGTTAGGTTAGGTTAGACCAGCTTGGTTTAATTGAATAACACGACGTCCCTTGTTATTCCCAAAATGACGGCTCGAAAATCGCGTATCGAATCCTGACCAAATCGAATTAAGCACAACAGGCTAACATGCTAACGCTATGAAGGGCGTGACTAGAACGGTTAAAGGGTCGTGGTTATATTTTACGATCAGTTGGTTCTCTATGAATAATTTAAAGCGACCCCTACAGGGTTCTGGATATCATCCCTCCCGGTGGCCAGTGTCCTACGGGATTATCTATATCCCTGCACGTCACTTTTTTTTTTAACGAAAATTGCAACCCGTGCTACGTTTTCTGGGATTTCCTAGTAATTTCCGAACGTCAGGGTGAAAGATTTCTTAGAAAAGTGGCAGAAAAAAATTCTAAGGAAAGTACAAAGCTCTATTGAAAAACGAAAAGTCCATATGGGTACTATAGTTCAGTGTATTAACCGATGTATTGTTGAGTATCATTTTTCCAATATCATTGTACGATCCCTTTATCAAATAATAAAAAATGTGCAGTGTAAAATAAAAAAAATTTATTAAAAAATTTTTTCAAAAAACTTCAATCGTCCTTATCCCTCCAGATATCGATTTTGGATTTTCGATCGGATATTGGTACCTACTGGTAGAATTCTCATACCAATTCCCTTTGTTCAATGATCCCTAGAGTTTGCAGTCACTATAGTCATTGCCTACGGGATGATGGCTAACGATAATGGTGGATTAGCAGTTACCCATCTGTCAGTAGAGAATTACTATTAACATCGTAAATAAAAAATTTTAATAAAAAAAAATTGTACCCAAAATCCGTGGCTCGCTTAAGATTCATGATTCTTCGAGATTTGAATATCTCTTTCTGCTCCGCTAAAACCTCTTGTAATTCATGAGGTAACGTTATGGGGGTTGATTGCACATAGCTATGGGGGTTTCGAAGAGGAGAAAAGGGGGAGACATAGTAATGCGTAAATGTGGCCACGCAAAAGGGCCAATGAAAGGACTTATACCGGATATACATTTCATTTGGCCATCGGCCAATTGGCTCGATCGACTATAGACCATATATGTATATATGCATAGGGTATAGGCCATTTCGCGGATTTACCGAATATTTAGTAGGGCTTATGGCTTTAACGTTTCCCGCTAGCTTGCAGGTGGTTGACACTCGCATGATTTATTGGCTGCGGTTGCTTGAACTCTCTAGATTAATGAATCATAGGAATTGCCCCTTTTATCCACCTAATATACGGATAGATCTTTCATATCGGAAGAGTTAGAGCTTCTTTCAATATACCTATGATAGGTGGTATAAAAGATTTATTAAAGATCCGTAAAGAGAAACAATGATTGTTGTATTAACTAAAAACTTTGTGACATACTAGAAAATTTGTATTGTGACATCCAAACAGAAATAGTAGTTTTCCAAATTTCGTATACATAGCTGTTAAATTAATTGAATATAGGTGTCAGTGTAATTGAGATAAATAATATGATTTTTGATAGGAAAAAAAAAAAATAATCGTGAGGGGGCACCCGGGTTTGAACCGGGGACCTCTCGATCTGCAGTCGAATGCTCTACCACTGAGCTATACCCCCATTTGAAATAGATGTAAAACAATGAGTGATGTAAGGTGTATAATCTAAATAGAATACTACCTACGTGCAACCCACGCACTGATAATATATTCTATTCATAAGTGACAACGTCCGATGATAAATACTTGTATACAAGTATTTTCTTAGTGAATAGCGATTACTAAAAAAAAATACATTACTCGAATTCAGTGTATAGAAACGATGGCAGTCCGCCAGCGATGTTTGCGGAATCGAGCGTTTTCGCAAATAGGCATCGACAACGGAAGACAAACAGGATCGTCTAACAATGCCGTGCGGTTGCATAATGCAGTCGGAATAGCATTAATTTGCTTGCTGGCAATTATAAACGGCCTCAGGACGCACTGGGACGGCACGTCGATTCGCGTTAACTTTACGTCAAATTATTCCGACTGAGAAGTGCATAGGAATCTAATCTCACCAAATAAAACCATCTTGATTTCACATTGAACATTTCTGTACTCATTTATTATTTTTCTCTTGAGTAAAAATTGTTTCACTTACCCAGTGATACGGGTGCATCCGAACACAATGATGATCCAGCGTGAAGAGTCCTTGTCGGCGAACAAATAGCACAAATAGCCATAAGCGTGCCTCCCCATAAGGCATAGATGGCGACAGGTAGGGTAATATATGACGGACCACCTAGTGGCTTCATGACTCGACCATATGCCACCATGACTAAGGCGCACATGGTGAACGGTTGACGTTCACGGTATCCTTTGACAAAGTACAGACTCGTCTGCAAAGCGACAAACCCCATAAGAGAGTAGCAGGGTAGGTCAACTGCTGTGAATCTTCGAATTATCAACCCAACTTTGTTGTTATCAAAGTAAAATTTAATTCGGACAAATTTTCACTTTCAAGTCCAATATTTCGAACGATTCGAATGTTAAATTTCTAATTTTCCAGGAATTTCAATTCAGTCGGTAATCGGCAACCGTTAAGGTGGACAGAGACAAAGGGTAGAGAACGTATCGTAAGGCTTTGTAATTAATCAACGTAAACAGAATACTCAAACAATAGCACCCCTACGTCGATAAATAAATCATATCCCACCGAGAGGCATCCCCCTGTGACGTGCTTGACATCCCCGTATCCCTACTTCCACGATTGACACGTGGACAATGCTAAGAGTACTTCTGTCAATTGTCCTTGACGATTTTATCAGATTGATAAGATTTCTTAGGCAAAAAAATCTGGTACTCGTTGCTCGCATGAGAATTTAAAAATAAGTCGATCCGATTGGCAGTATCGACTGTTTCGAAGATATTGAACACTTGACCACATACAATCTCTTGACTATACTAATTATTCATCTGCAACTGTTATCCTAAATCTGCAGTACGTCTGCAAATGTAAAATATGGTTATTTAGCGTGAGACAGTTGGCAGTCTGAAAATGCATTCTGTGCAAATAAACACACGTCCCATAACAACCAAGATGGGACATAAGTTCGCAATGGATGGGACGTTCGTAAATTCGGTCGAAGATTTATATCCATCCGTTTTCTATTTTTTTTCGCTTCTCCGCCCAACCCCTTGCAAAAAAACGTGAGAAACAAGTAATTCCCCGGTCGGTCCTTCCTTTCCATTCGGGTCGTGAATTAATCCATCAAAACACTCGCGAGTAACCCAAACCCTCTTTCTTCTTTTTTTTTTCCCAGCAGCCACCAGCATCACCGACACGAATACCGTCAGGAGTGCCAGTGCCGCTTTACTACCACTATGGTATAAAATACCACCATCACTGAGAGCGGCGTCCTCTAAATATAAAGCAAAACACGAGTACGCTACCGACTAGGCGCGGTGTACACGATGCATTTAAATTGTGAAAACTAGAGGAGAGAACAGCGCGATGTTACTGAGCCCCGGCTGGATAGTAAATAATGTTACTTCGTTGGCAAAAAGCTACTACCGACTAGAACGGTTGGTAGTATATGAGGTACACGGTGGTTAACGCTGTAAATTGCTGAATTTTTTACAGTGGTATCAGTGACATATGTAGAGAACGTGTATAAATATGTTACGTAATAATTATATACGCATTTAGTCCACACTTTCGTTGGTCAAAGATACATAGTTATTTCAATTACCTACGGACATTTTTTTTGGTTTTTAATTGTGACCTAGCTTAAACGCTAGGTACGGACAAAAATTGTTATGAAAAACTCTTCAAATCGTTCCCCTCCACGGAAATCTTTAGTAAAAGGCGAAAGATTTATTCGTATTTTGAAGGGAAACCAGAGTAACTTCAAGTTGTTTTTCGGCTGGATATATTCATATCCGGGACTGATTTCTATAGTGAGAATACGGACCCACCTGGTGGTGTTTCATGCAATTATACGACTCGTGTTGGGTCCGTTGGGTCTAAGTCCCTTGGGTAGCTCGAATTGCTTCCGAAGCATTCCGATAGGTGTCTGATGCATTGGGTCTTTTCTCAGTACGAAAATTGTACCTGATAGGTACAAAGGCCCAATAGTTCGTTGCAGACTTCACTCTGGTTTCCCTTCAATATACGAATAAATCTTTCGCCTTTTACTAAAGATTTCCGTGGAGGGGAACAATAATGGAGTCTTAACTCAATTTTTCTGGGCCCTGGGTTACCACTTGGGCCATAATTAAAATGAAAACACAAATATACTACCATCACTAACTATTACAATCCTCCAAAAAGACCTTTAATTGCCAAATTTTCATTTTCCTATAAGTAGTCCCGTAGCATTTCTAAATTGGTGTTTCCCACAGTTAAAATATATTTTATTTACCCCTACTATAATCAATACAATAATCTTAATCCTAACAAAAAAATATTTTTCCAACAATTTCTCGAACCATGTAAAACAATTCTTAGGAATATATTTAAAAAAGAGTCCCTAAATCCAACGATATCCACAAGCAACAGATTAATCAGCCCCTAGTGCCTGTATTATTTCTGCAGCTTCCAGATATCTGGCGCTTAACCAACTATTGCCATTAACCTAAATTTGAAGTCCCGTACATAATAGATCAACCCAAAGTAAAAAGCAAATGGGTGAAATATTCACCATACACGCATCTGAATAAACCAAAAAAAATGGCAAAAAACCTTATCTCGAAAATCTACCCCGCGTATTTCGTTATAAAAAAAGGAGTCTTCCTACAGCCGTGATTCGATTTAATCCACAATAAATCACATGCCAGAATAACGATTATAATTCCCTACCTCATATCGTAAAATTCGACAAATATTCGTCCAGTCGGTAAAGACGCGTCAATTCGAAGCACCGATGCGTTTGCCTTGATGATAAAGATAATAAAAGGACCAGCTAAAATGTACAGGTGTGTTTGTGGAGCGAAAATATGAGTCCGTACAGTATCCAGTGATGTTGGGAATGGTGGCAACGCTGAAGGTAGCGCGAACGGTAGTGGTTAATACAAATACGAATACGAGTACGTGGAGACGAAGGTGCAGAAGGCTGGTATAGGTGCTGTGGCGTTGAGGGTGTACGCGGAGGAGATAATATTTTGCCCAGGGTTAAAGCGTGTGGGTGCGTACTTCACGTGGGCGAGTGTAGGATCAATATAAGCTATGACATAGCGAGAGCTCATCTTTAAGGCACGCCCATAACATCACGTTGTCCAATCCCAACATGGACCCGAGCGACCATTGGCCAATGGTCGTGTAGCATTGATTTTTCGCGCCCCTTTTTTTTCCGAAAGTGAATTTCTTCCCGAGGACGACGCCGCCGGTGGTTCTGCCAGTTCTGGTTGCGATGGTGGAGCACCAGAAGGTGGTGGAGGTCGACTGGGTTGTGTACGTTAACTGTAAAGCTAGGGTGGGGATGGACGATGGGTTGTGGGGTGCAAGGGATGGCGATCACGGGGGCGCCACACTTGCAGGGGTAAACGAACCCCCGTTTCATCCCACAATGCTCTCACCCTCACCAGGCTGTCCCTCTTTCAATCGCGAGTACCTCTACCTCTTACCAATAGGGATCCTACGGGTTCATTTTCATACGTGGTAAACAACAAAACGTGAAGTTCAAAATTTTCTATTTTCCAATCTGTATATACGCCGCGATATACATATATGACGTAATACGTAACGAAAGAAAATTATACATTGCAGATGGATTTAATTCGACTGAGACAAAAATTTTTAATCGTACTGTACAACCAATAGGAATTACGCCCCTTGATAAATTTTAATGATTAATTATCGATTCGATCGAAATAAAAAATTTTTTTAATTTCCAAATGGAACAATTAAGGCCACGAGGTATAATGTAAGACTGGCGTTAATACGATGCAACTAAAACATAAGAGCCTACCGAGGCGGAAAGAAACTCCAATCTTAACTTCAAACAGAAAACCTAATTTACACACGTTTAAAATTCCCGGGCAAGATTGCCGCAGCGGACCGTAACTCGAATCCGTATGAATTCGCAATGGGGAGGTTCGGCGTGTGCCAGCCAGCCCAAGCTACGCTGCCATGGCGTCTCATTGCATCCCGTTCCATCTCGCTCCTGGGCAGGCCTCTTCCCGTAGCCTCTGGGTGCCTCGGCCATGCTTCCTCAGTCGTGCCAGTACACAGAGGGAATGTATTAGGAATTATGGCGAAGAGGGTATACCGCTGGAGCATTGCTGAGCAGTGGTAACGTGTGCTGTCGAATAATCACGTTCAGACTTTCATCTCCATTCTTAATTTAATCAGACATCCATGTAAATCACCTGATATCCTAACGAGGGTTCATGGGAAATCTATGAACCTTCTCATAACCTTCCTAACGCATCCCCATGAGCTCATCAAGTCTCTTAGCGACGAATTTCGATTTAATTCGGTATCTCTTTTCATTGATTATTACATCGATTGCGTATTAATACGAATTTGGAATATTACATTGATTCTCTATATATATATTAATATATCGTATTTTACGTATAATTTTAAATACGAGTCGACTCCTACCGATTACGACCTTGTTCTTCGTGAATTAGAGCGAAACTCAAATCCTTTCACTTGGTTTGAAGAATTGCGCAAGTACTCCGTAATGGGCGCCAGTGGTCATCTATATACGTATGAATGTATTTTTACGCGAGACAGCACACTTAGGTGCGTTTGACAAGAGAGAGAAAAGGAGGTTACTTATTTTGACAGGTTTTTATATCGTCAATGAGTAGAAGAGAGATAGAACGATAGTCGTTCGTACGAGTAAGACGGAGACAGAGATAGCCAAGTTGGTTCTAATTCTATGTTTTTATGTATCCTCTCAACCGCATAGGTACGTTTGATCAGAGAGAGAGACGGTGGTCTGTCTGGTAGGCTAATTTTTCACGTTTGCTATACCGACCGGGAGTGCGAGTGAGACGGACCCATGGTCGATCACGTGGATAAGAGTGAGACAGATATAGTGGACGTGGTGAATTCGTAATTTTATAATTTTTAAAAAATTTAATTTTTCACTAAAAAAATTAGATGCAACCTAGTTTTTGTACATGTCACTTTTGATGTCGATGCGACTCTGTGCTGAAGTTGCGACAATAAAAGCTGCCTGGGTTATTTTGCTTTTTCTATTTCAGACAAAAATAATAAAGGCTGTCCTGTTATAATCCCGAAAGGGGGCTTTTCCGTGGAAATCACGTATTCGCGTCCGCGGTATACGAGCGTACTCATAACCATAACGGGCTGAACCGTTACGAGGATGAGCAGCTAGCGGCTGAGGGACATCCTGATGAGCGGACTGGTTAAGGGCAGCGAGGAGAGAAGTAGAGGCTGGCGTTGCGGCTTTACGGCGACACTATCACTGACTCGTGACGAGAATGCAGCATCCATCCGGCATCGAGTCGTGTGTTTATTATTTCCAGACCCCACACTTTGCAATTCCCTACAAGACCAGGACCCGGTATCTATAGTGGTATGTACGCGAACTATATCTATATACATGGCTATCCTAAGAGCCATGAACAACAACGCCCCGAACCAGCAACCCCCAGTACGGCGAGTCTTCGTCCTGATTAGTTCGGAGGGTGGGTGCCTTGTAGTTACCGCCCGTCTTGAAATATTGAAGGGGTTCACACCCCCTCTCGGTGGACGAGGGTTTCATTATTTTAGGAAATACGCGATCCTTCGTGGGATTATCGATTCTTGTTCTTTGTGACAGTCGTGGTAACGAATGTTAAATTAAGGGTAGTTTTTTTGAAAAGACGTTTTTTTTTTTTTTAATTTGTTGGATTTTCTTGGGAATTTTTTTTTTCGAAATTTTTGAAAATTTTTGAAAATTTTTGTACAGTTTATCTATGTTCGGTGCAGGGGATGTTGTGGACTTTTTAGCGTTTTATTTTTTATCGGCTTTTGGTTAACGGCTTTTGACTTCTTTAGGGGTGCAATCCGACGAAAGGAATTTCCGTGTGGTCGAGTTAAATCGGCGCCCGTGGAAATGCCCAATCTGCGCCATGGTCTTTCAATTGCTGCTGGCTTCTACCAAGCGGCGGCAATAAACGTAACGTGGTGTCACAGCAATTCCAATTTTCTCCTGGCAAACGGCGAACTTGCTCCCTTTCACCGCTTTAACCGTTTTACCCTTTTCACCCATTCTCTGGTATTGCGCAAAACTATAGCGACGTCCTAGCCTGCCTAGTACCATTCTTGTGAATTATAATTTGACACTGCTGACTTTGCAGAGGATCCTACCCAGAAAATTCCATTTTATGACCTTTTTACCTTGCTGAAAATTCTTTCTCATGTAAGTTACAGCAAGAGGATCTTGAATTAATAAATCATTGTTTTTACGTGGAAAGAAGGGATTGAAAATTCTTGAAAGCGTAAAAAACGTATATTAATATTTAGTACATAGAAATATTATGTAAAAAATTAATTACTTATTTAATTAAGTCGATACAGTAAACAATTAACGAAAATTAATATCTACAAATTTATTATTGCAGATAAGGCCCCGGAGGGATTCGAACCCTCGATCTCCTGTTTACTAGACAGGCGCTTTAACCAACTAAGCCACGGCGCCATACGATTGTGTCTTGAGATTTATACATCCTATAAAGTACATATATATATTCAACCAAATCGTATACCTTTTTATTCACTAGTAACCTAAAAATGTATTGCATAATGTATTTATTTTTCATAATTCTATATCATTAGATCAATATTGTTAATTGAACTTTTTCACACAAGACTTGCAATATTGTACAAAGCAAAAATGAGTCTACAATATTTTAAAAGAATTTGCATTAAAGATGTTGAACAAAAAATAAAATTAATGAAAAAAATTATGGAGGTGCCGGGTATCGATCCGGGTACCTCCTCGCATGTTAAGTGAGCGCTCTTTCACCTTACCCATGCTCCTTCCCCAACCTGTCTTTTCTAGAATTTGGTTCTTATATAACAATGACATTTGCTCAGTTCTGCCGCAAACTGACTAAGCCTCTATTTGAAACTATTTGAACAAGAAACTATTTGAACGCTGGAATAAAGAAATATGACAGTGTTACTCAGTTGAGTACTGGAACATACATATGTATGTTGGTTAGGATTCGTAGGTGCGATTCATAGAAAGGTATCTAGAGTGGACGATTGACCATGGCAGTCGTTCATGGTCACACTTTTTCATTAGTCGTGGTCGTGGGATTGCGTAAGTGATCCTGTGACTAGTTAATCATAAAAATCAGACTCACTGAAATGAGGTATAGAGAACTCTGAAAATCATTAAATTTACGCGGTTCCATTGGCGCAGCATATCCTTGATGCATGTCGTGATGGGTGGATGGGCGTTTTATCCTTGTACAGAAGAAAAAATGTAAATAAGACGCGCCCGTATTCGTTATAATTATGTAATGTACAATTCTCATGGTTAAGGTAACAATTTGCGCTTCTAATTATCAGGAATGGTGACACCGCTATGGGATCTAATTAGAGAGGAGTGAATACTCGGCAATTAAAGATATTTATATCCTGGAAGGTGTGTGCAAATTGTAAGAATTTTATCAGTCGGAATGTTTTTGCATAAGCGAAGTATCTTTGCGATAATTATTGTTAGGTTTTTAAAATTATGAAAAAATATGGGCTCGTCCGGGATTTGAACCCGGGACCTCTCGCACCCTAAGCGAGAATCATACCCCTAGACCAACGAGCCATCTTGTTACAATCATACTTTTTACACAGTCGGTGCCTACTGATTATCAAATGAATATAGGTTAGTGAAATTGACTGTGCAAAAGATATCAGGCTGGTTCGATAAATTTGAAATTGATTCTGAAAGTCGTCTTTGTTAATCAAGAGTTCTGTAGTTGAAATTATTTTCTGCAAGCACGTTCATTTATCTTAGCAAATCCGAAAGATATCTTTCTTATAACATAGACGAATGAACAGGATATGTTTTATGTAACATAAATAATCATTTAATTAAATAAATAATTTATTCTCATGTGAACAGTTTTTCAATAGAAATCTGAGAATTTGCCAACAACTTGGCTCGTTGGTCTAGGGGTATGATTCTCGCTTCGGGTGCGAGAGGTCCCGGGTTCAAATCCCGGACGAGCCCATATTTTTTCATAATTTTAAAAACCTAACAATAATTATCGCAAAGATACTTCGCTTATGCAAAAACATTCCGACTGATAAAATTCTTACAATTTGCACACACCTTCCAGGATATAAATATCTTTAATTGCCGAGTATTCACTCCTCTCTAATTAGATCCCATAGCGGTGTCACCATTCCTGATAATTAGAAGCGCAAATTGTTACCTTTTTGTGAAAATATTTTTTTTATTATTTACTTATTAAATCGATAAAAAACGCATTTAATAATACCCTATAGTCCTGAAAGGCACGTTAACATTTCTTCACTCTGTTCTCATTTTTTCATTCAATTCCCCCACGACCCATAAAAAAGTATGCTCCACGCAATTCCACGGCTAAACTTTACCATTAAACAGAAAAAGGAACAAAGTATTATCAGTGTCCAACCGCACCTGCAATGCTCACCGGAGTGTTAGTGACGACTCCACGTTACAACGCAAATGCACATCAATTATGCAAGTATGAACGCACCGTTATTCCATTCACATCGGTGCCCCCGACCGTACGTAAACCCGAGAGTCAAGATCACCCATGACCAATAAAATTAAGTTTCTTCGGCACGTTGAAACAAAAGAACCTAAGTGTGTGAAATTGTATTACTATAAAAAAAAAGGTGCTAAAGACGAAGATCAAAAAATCAATACCTTCTCGAAATACGCGGTGCGTCGAATCTTCAGCGTTGACGAACTCAAGTTTCGATTTAATCAAAAATAAATTTTAAACGTCAAACTTCCGAAATTCTTCAAAAATATTCTTTCTCTTACCGACTTTAGTTGCCAGTGATTTTCCGCGTTTCATAAAAACCATTGAAATCCGAATCCTTGATTCGAGCCTCGGCAATGTACGTTGACCCGAGCGAGACAAGCGTATACACAGTTTAGGCTATTAAAAAATTGCACATGAATTATGCTAGGAGTGATCGATGCCAGCGAGAATGGACCGATGATAACGATGACAATGAGAGTAATGGTCATACCCTTGGGACTAATAAAATTGTCGAAAATAAAAAATTAATATACTTAACTTCCTTGAAATTTGAATTCGATCTTTCTTTTTACTCGTGAATTACATGTCTCATGTATAACTGTATATAAATCATTGGAGTGTACGGTTAAACAATGGGACACTTCTGCACGTAAGGATAATGAATAACGATTGTCATCGTGGTAATACAATTTTCATCAGTAAATAAAAGTGTCAGTAGATCAAGATCAAGGCCCGGTACGGTTACAACAGTCTGGAAAACTTTGTCACGAGCAGTGCAGCAGATTCCATAAAAAGGAAAAGAAAAAAAAATCGCTAAAAAATATAGAACGTCAAAGAAACGTTCTAGATAATTCTTTTTTTTTTAACCTCTCGTAAAATGAAATTTTTTGAAACTTTTTTTTTGTCAAATTTAATTTTCCGTCGCCTTAGCCCCCTTTCTCCTCTTTCCTTTCGGACAAAAGGCGCGTCTAGTCGACGACGTCGACGTTAAAAATAACGAAATTGACGATTATTCTTTACGTAGTCGCGAGAACCGTCAAGGACAGGGCGTTGTGGCTGTAACGGTGGTAAGAGCAAGGAAGAAGAATGAAAAAAGGGAAGTGTCCACTATTGCTCAGCCATCTTGGATATGGCCTACGGTGGCTACGAAAAACTGTTGAACGGAGGAGGGTCAGCGGAGAATATATAAAAGGCGAGGGTGGCGAGTCGCAAGCACAGTGGAAAACAGCTCTTTAGATTTATCGGAGACGTGGTATAGAATCTCGATACGTCATTGCATATAAAAGTGCGGTAAGAATTTGAATCATTATTAAAATAAATTGCATTCGGTGGGAGAATAATTCGATTTGACGACTGGCGTAATAATTCACAAATTAGAAAAGAAGTGGATTAAAAAAAATTATCTGTGTCAAAAAAAAAATTCTGTTTCTGGAATCATGGAAATTATTTATTGTGATAATTTTTTCGATGATCGATAATCACACTGATTAACAGTTATCACTCGTCACTCTCGGGACACTAAGCACTTGTTATTATATAAAGTTGAAAAATTGTCAATAATTATCTCATGCAAATTTCACTATTCCTCTCGACTTTCTTTTCAGTACCGACAAATGTCATGGGAAAGACTCTATTTTCTTAGTCTCACGGAAATAGTTGATAATGCCTATTTATATTGTATCAGTCAGTTTAGTTTATCGAACGAGATTAATTCCAGTTTTACATAAATCATATTTTTTTGTTTAAAAATATTAACGGGTTCGGTCGATTAAATTTGTTGCGGTAAATGTTTCGCATGAAAAATATTTGCTTTCGGGTCAAAATTTATATCAGGGTGTTCTCGATCGACATAAATTTTTTATTCTGAAATAATTCCTGTCGATTTTGTCTATTAAACAAATATGATTTTTTCAAAATTTTTTTTACAAATAATAATCCCCTTTTCACAGTGTCTAACCTGACACTCAAGAACAATTAACTTAGCCAGGGGGCAAATGATAAATTTTTTATTAATTTTTCTATCCAAAATTAACCCATCGGGTTAATGATCGCTTGAGGTTAACGGTCAGAATATTCAAGGAGAAATCATCATTTGACTATAATAAAGTGAAAGTACCTTGTACGAAGAAGTCAGTCAAAATTCCTATCAAATCTTCTAAACCCGTTGGTACGTAATGATAAAATTACACAACAACAAGAAACATTGATTTTTATTGTATATAATAAAGTTCGTATATTTCGTATAAAAATTTTCTCAAAAAATCTCAAACCTTTTTTTTATCAGTTTTGAAAAAAATAATTATTTTTTCCCTCCAAAGTTCCTCAAGGGAATCCTTTGAGTACGATTAGCGCTACGCGTGTCCAAATCTAATTGCGGAGAAAGTAACGTAAAGAGTAAGTAAGAGAATAATACGTGCGTAAGGAAGAAAGTTTAAGGATGAAAGTGGGAATGGAACTATGTAAGGTGAAAATACGTTTCTCCTTATAAGAACGTGCCACTTCTTCGATGGACATCGAACGATCGAGTGTTCCCGTGTGTTTTGAGTGATCGATAGAGTGACTGGAACGGCGGAATTTCAATTGGTCGATGCGTTCTTTGCCTATGGACTTAAGACGTTTGTCATTGCAGGAAGTCTGTTAGATTTTGAGGTTACCTTGACCTGTATATTGTCCGAGATGGACGCGCGGCAGTTTGAGGAATTTGGAAAAGCGGTCGTCGATTTTATTTCCGATTACACGGAAAATCTACGGGAACGCGAGGTCCTGCCGAGTGTCGAACCAGGATATTTGAGTGAGCTAATGCCAAATGAAGCTCCGAGACAGGCAGAATCCTGGCAGGATGTGCTGAAGGACGTGGAACGTCTTATACTTCCCGGAGTGAGTGTTGGATGCGGACTGTACAAAACTTAAAGCTATTCAATTGTTAGCAAATAAAAAAAGCATGTAAAATGTAATATGTAAAATCTATTATCTCATAATGGAATATAAAACTTTATTAGGTCACACATTGGAACTCGCCGCACTTCCATGCTTACTATCCTACTGGGAATTCGTATCCTGGTATAGTGGGAGAAATGTTGAGTGCTGGATTAGGATGCATTGGATTTTCATGGATTTCATCGCCCGCTTGTACGGAATTGGAGGTTGTCACTATGAACTGGTTAGGGAAATTGCTTGGGCTGCCGGAAGAATTTCTTAATTGCAGTGACGGACCTGGCGGTGGTGTTATACAGGTACATTTTATTTATCTTTATTCAAAGAATGTTTGAGCATATTGATTTTTTACAAATTTTTCTTTAAGTTTTCCATATATAATTATTTGTTCGAATCGTTCGGAATTTTGAAACCCGGATCTTTTATTCTTGAAATATAAATTATATTCTGAATCAACATGCAATCATATTCACTCTTAGAGTTATGTTGGTAATTTTAATATTATTGCGGAAACAATCCTTATATTTTAATTACTAAGGGTTCTGCAAGCGAAGCGACTCTAGTGGGTTTGTTGGCTGCAAAGGAAAAGACAACACGTCGTATAAAGACTTTGTATCCAGATTTGGACGAAGGAATCATAAAGGCCAAACTGGTGGCTTATGCTTCAGGTAAGTTTTTAGTATTACGTAAATAAGGTAATGATTTTAAGGTAATATTTGACTGTTGGTAAAATAATGTTTATCTACCCTCAATCGGTAGACCAATCGAATTCCTCGGTGGAAAAGGCTGGGTTACTTGGGTCAATGCCTATGAGATTATTACCAACCGACGATAAGTGTCGTTTACGAGGATCTACGCTTTTGGAAGCTATTAAGAAGGACGAGGAAGCTGGACTTATACCTTGCTACGTGGTCGCTACTTTAGGTACTACTGGCACCTGCGCTTTTGACGTGCTCGATGAACTTGGACCAATCTGCAATGAGAATAATCTCTGGCTGCACGTGGATGCTGATCGGTAGACCAATCGAATTCATCGGTGGAAAAGGCTGGGTTACTTGGGTCAATGCCTATGAGATTATTACCAACCGACGATAAGTGTCGTTTACGAGGATCTACGCTTTTGGAAGCTATTAAGAAGGACGAGGAAGCTGGACTTATACCTTGCTACGTGGTCGCTACTTTAGGTACTACTGGCACCTGCGCTTTTGACGTGCTCGATGAACTTGGACCAATCTGCAATGAGAATAATCTCTGGCTGCACGTGGATGCTGCTTACGCAGGTGACTTATTGCATTTGGTACAGTATTTACTGTTGACACCTTGACGGGCAGACATTTCATTAATTGATTCTAATCTACTGCCAATCCAAAATTATGCATACGCGACAGCGGCCGTTAACTGTTAAAGGCTTCAATAAGATTTTGTAGGATACCGACCGACGATAACTTACCGGCAGACGTACTTGTCGACCGTCGATCACTTATTAGAATACGATGTGAAATTGATGGAATTTTTATAAATTTTTTAATTACAGGAGCTGCCTTTGTTTGCCCCGAATATCGTCATCTTATGTCTGGTGTTAATTATGCTGATTCTTTTAATTTCAATCCGCATAAGTGGCTACTTGTCAATTTTGACTGTTCCGCCATGTGGTAAGTTTCAAAAGAACGATAGTGAAGTAAATAAAAAAATTTATAACCGTTCAAGTAATTATCAAATTAGTAACAATGATTTTTGACTATAGGGTAAAAAATGCAGGGTGTTTGATCGATGCATTTAATGTAGACAGGATATACTTGGCACACGATAAGCAGGGACAAGCTCCCGATTACAGAGTAAGCATCAATACAAGTAACTTTCTAATTTATGTCACGCATTATCTTTATAACGCAATTTTTTAAATCAGCACTGGCAAATTCCATTGGGACGTCGATTCCGCGCTTTAAAATTATGGTTCGTCTTACGACTCTACGGTACCGAAGGATTGCAGAATCACATTCGCAGAACGATTAGATTGGCGCAGCAGTTCGAAGATTTCGTAAAATCGGATGACAGATTTGAAATAGTAACAGAAGTTTCAATGGGTCTCGTGTGCTTCAGAATGAAAGTAAGGAAGGAAATAGAATATATTTTTACAATGTAATCGTCGGTCGGTAATAAAAATAAATGTACAATTTTGTTATTCCTCAGGGCGATAACAGTCTCACCAAAGAACTATTGGATCGTTTAATGAAGAGGAAACGTATTTTTTACAATGTAATCGTCGGTCG